GTGCTAATACCTTCCCTTTTCATAATCTACCCCCCGAACCCACGAAATATCTCAAAAGGTTTTTGCTGTGCTTTTTAACCTTTCCTTTAGGATAAAATAAAAAGTCGGTGGCGACTCTTGCTCAACCGAACAAGTGCGAATACAAACGCAAACCTCAAGTCAGTTCTCCCACCGTATCACACATTGGTTCACAGAAATAATTTCTTTGTTTAATAATTCAAACTATTTTGTTGAGCTGATTGCAATCTATGTGATTGCAATTGGTTTCTCATATCAACAAAATCAAAGAAAAACCGGATTTGAATTGATTGTACACTAAATATTCGATAAATTGCTTAAGTCGTTTTATGTTTGTTATTTCATTGGTATTGATTACTACTATGTGGTTTTATTCAAACAATTATGGTTGAAAATATATTGGTTAAGCTTTCTCATCTTACGTATTCGTTTTATCCGTTTACCACATATTCAATCTTTTCGATAACAATTCGAAATAGAAGATTATCGATCCGAAATTGTTTCTCCATATGCCATAATTAAACATTTTCAAAATAGAATTTTAATAAAAAAAATTTATTTGCAATCTATTTACCCCATCTAAATCGTAGTCTATCGTTTAACAACATCCTCGAAACAAGTTACTAATACTTATATCAAGTAACCAACTAAAAAGCACCAAACTAACTACCATAACAAACATAACAGTCATAATTGGATTATATTGTAATATTTTTCACCAAATAATTCATCCTCCTAATAAAACATTTCACAATCTTTATTCTTTCTTAAAAAAAATTAACAAAATAAAATAAAAGGATGATCAATGGAAAACATGTCAAAAAAAATAAAGAAAGGATAATAAATAAATAAACATCCATCCTAAAAAAACAAAAAGAAAATCATTTTAGGAATACTACTAAACCAACAATGAGTCTATGATGGAGGTAGGTAGCATTGATTATTTAATCTTCATTATATCCATTTTTATCAAACACCAGTACTCTACTCTACTCTACTTTGCATATCACATCACAAAAAGATCACAACTCTGACACTAGAACTCTGAATATAAACATAGAGAAGCATGCAAACAACCAATCTTTCCTCGTTTATTGTCCCATTTTTATTGTTTCTCTGATCTATGATGTAAGTCTCAAAAAATATGACACATTTTTTCAATGTTTAATAAATGCACCAAACAGAAAAGTGTCATTCTCATACGCAACACTCTCTTCCACGTTACATCATTAAAAAAAAAAACAAAAAAAAACAAAACCCTTTTATGCTACAAACTCTACAATTTCCATTTTTTGCATCCACTACTACTTGATCATGTTTATGTGATTTGTTATTATAGCTAAAAACAAAAGAAATATGCAAAGGTTCAACACAACAAGTGAATCACCCTCCTCACCAGTCTATTCTCATTCTTCATTCTTGTTGAGGTAGTAAGTAAATTACAATTTTTGTTTGTTTATGTTTTTGTCTTTTTTTATATTTTTTGTTGGTTGAAAAAACAGAGTTACTCTGTTTTGAAACAGGGGTGATGAATCAAATCTTAATCCAACACGTTTCTTTGATCCTCAACTTTCATTTCAACAACACTATGCTGTTGATTTAAGTAAGCTTAACTCTCTCTCCTCTCCATGTTATATCTTAACTGACCTCAACATGTGCTAAAAAGTGGGGCAATTCTCACTCTAGAAGTAGGCTTTGTAGAAATGAGTTGGACTAATCGCATTTCTTGTCATGATATCAGAGTTTGGTTTAAAATTCGTTTAGTCAACTGCAATTAAGTTTCTACTATCGAACCACTCACAATTTATTTTGAGTCTCGCATCGGCTAAGTTATGATTTAAGGTGGCAAAATAGGTCTGGCCCGTCTAAAGCATGCCCTTTTGCCAAGACTACGCACGCACCCTTACACCTTCTTACAGACTCAATGTAAAATGTTTAAAATACCTCTTGATTTCGGAAATATATATAACTATTATTTTTCATAAATTTTGACAAAATTCAGATATGCATCTCCGAAGTTTCACACATTTCGGATATGCATTTCCGAATTCACCACTAATAAGGATGTGTCAAGAAACTGTCTTTTTTTTGCAGGCACATATATTAACATAAAATTTTGTAATTTTTATGATAAAAATGTGCAATGTCTGCAAGCCCGCCCCATCTCCCTCCATTATTTTAGAGCGGGTCAAGGTATTAGGCTCGTCTTCAAAAATTTTGCTCCGCTTTGCATGCTTTTGTGGGGCGAACCTAAACGGGGCGGGTATGCCCGTTTGTCATCCCTAACTTGAACCTGTGCTTACAAGTGGGACAATCTTCACCCTGCCCTATCATAGTTTTTTCTTTTTCACTAATAGTTTTTCATTTTTTATTATCATTTTCAGGTTCTATGTTTGGTGCAAAGTCTAACAATGTTGCTGTTGCAGCAAGTAACTTGCAGTATGGAACATTCAACACAGTACTAACCTTCTCCTTTTCTCTTTTATAATTTATATATAAAATTAAAGTTTTGAGTATATGTAACTGCTTAGGGTTGAAATGCAATGTTTTGTGTTGTGTAGAATTTTGGTTCTGGTTCTTCTTCAGGCATGGGAGATAATACTCAAAAGACTGAAGATACTTCAACAGAAGATATTGATACTGATGATAAAAACAATCATGTACATTTTCAGTTTTTTTTCTTTCTCATTGACAATCAATGTTTGATCATGTATGAGGGAGAGGTTATGTTGTAATTTGTATGTAACATTGCAGTGTTTCTCTACTGTTTCTTGGTGCAATGGTGTTGAGAATGAGGCTCTTGTGGTTGTTGATTCCAAGGATCAATGTAAGACTAAGGATAAATCTGAAGAGCAGAAGGTTCTTGCTTTTTTCTTCTATTTGTATTGTAAATTTGTGCTATCCAATCTAATCCAATTCAAGTTATGTTGATGTATTTGTTTATGTGGTTGCATTTTTCTAGAATCTTCGTAGGCTGGTTCAGAATCGCGAGGCTGCAAGGAAAAGTCGATTAAGGAAAAAGGTAGTTGTTGCTTTGATCCTAACCTGTCATGTGCATGTTATATTTTAACTAGTCTTCTTTGAGATAACCGTTAATCATTTCTCTAAAAGGAAGCTATGTCAGGGTTAGGTCTGTCTCTGAGGGCGTGCAAGGTGGGCTATATCAAATACTCTCCAATTCGTCATGGTTAAATTGTGATAAATAGGGTCTCTATTTCACGGCTAAACCATGGCTAAATAGGACTCCTAGTTGTTTTGTCAAAATTGAACTATGTCTAACCTACACAGGCCTCCTAAAACTTAACCCTGACCTGGTCAGGGACCGTGTAATTCATGAAAATGAACATTCTATATAGCATTGCTCGGATGATTCATGTGTTTTAGTTTTATATAGGCATACGTGCAACAATTGGAGAATAGTAGACTTAAGCTTGCTCAAATAGAGCAAGAGCTTCAACAAGTTCATCAGCAGGTTCAACAACTTATAAAGTTTCCATTAAATAAGATAGTTTTGTTCAATTTAGTTTCATTCTCATTTCACTTTTTGTTTTTTGTTGGATAATTTTTCCTTCTAGGGTGTATTTGGTGCAACCGGAGTTACAGCGGATCATGGTCATTCAGCTGTCGGAAGCAGTAATTCAGGTGAAGCAACCTCGACTATTCTGTTATCAGCTAGAAACTATAGCACTTTTGATATGTTCACTGCAATCTATGATGTGAGCATGTGACCGACGAAGTATTTTAAATCTTCAGGTGCGTTAGCGTTTGATATGGATTATGCCCGTTGGGTCGATGAGCATCAACGACTAATCGATGGCATAAGATCGGCTATAAATTCCCAAATGGGCGATAGTGAACTTCATCTTCTTGTTGATGGTGTCATTACACATTATGATGAGTTATACCGATTGAAGCGCATAGGTGTGAAAGCCGATGTATTTCACATACTTTCTGGTTTGTGGATAACACCTGCAGAAAGATGCTTCATGTGGCTCGGTGGATACCGTCCCTCCGAACTTCTCATGGTATGTGGTGATAATCGCGAGTGGAAAATTTATAATTCTGTTCTCGTTATTTACTTATTCGTGATTGTTAGCATTTTCCTTTTCCACTTGAAATTTAGATTGTTAGAAACCATCTCGATCCGTTGATGGATCAGCAGTTGATGGGGATATACAATCTGCAGCATTCTTCTCAACAAGCCGAGGATGCATTATCACAAGGCATGGAAGCATTGCAACAATCTCTTTCCGAAACGCTCTCTTCAACCACCAACGGATCTGGAAATGTCGCCGAGTATATGGGCCAAATGGCCATTGCAATGGCCAAGCTAGCCACACTAGAGACTTTCATTCATCAGGTATAATCAATCATCTAATATCATCTTATTCCACAATTAATCGAGGTTAACATTTATAAATCTCGTCAACATTGTTTTTCTTAGGCTGATCTCTTGAGGCAACAAACACTCCAACAGTTGCGTCGAATTTTGACCACACATCAAGCTGCTCGTGCTCTCGTCGTTCTAAATGACTACATTTTGCGAATTCGAGCACTGAATTCATTATGGTTAGCATGTCCTAAAGAATAGTACTAGAGTTTTGACACATTAACTTCTTCGATAAGAAACCTTATTTTCTTTAACCGCAGATCTAATTACCTACATATTCATATTCCTAGTTTTCAAATCTTGATAATTGTTATGTAAATGATCACATCCAAGAACAAGTTGTGGAAGTGTTAAGCTTAAAGCTAATTGCATTAAACAAATTTTATAAGTTCATTCTATTCTCTCTTTTAGTAACATTATTATATGTACACAGATATATCATGAAAGATAATTTTGCACAACCTATTCTCTCTTATTTTCCTTCACATATTCTTTGAATGAATCATCATGATTCATAAACTATATTTATGAGCAAGCAAGCTATACAATGTTCAAATTTCACTAAATACAAATTTCCTCAGCATATGCTTCTTCATTTCTTATTCACCACTGGTCTATAGGTTTTCCTCCTCCTCCTATTGTTCATTCTCTCTGCAAAAGAATCAAAAACAGAAGCAATTCTCACAAATAGTTCGAACTCCAAAAACTATTGTAATGACTAATATACAACATTTGTTGACACATAGTTTTTGTATGTTAGTCGGTCGTCGACAACCAACATTCGAACTCCAAAAACATCAGAAGAGTGAGCAAAAAGAAACAATTCGCACAAGTAGTTTTCATACAACATTTGTCCAACCATCTCTCAAGCCCGAATAAAAGGAGAGAATTGTGTTAGACAGACGATAGCCAACTTAAAACTTTGTCGAATCTCTATAAATATGAAAGCAAAATTATACCTGGCTTATGGTTTTCTCTGCACGATACTTGAGGAATGAACACTCCAGTACCTTTACCATTCCTCCACAAATTCACTAGCCAAATCGGTGGCGATTCCGTTTCCCACAAATATAATTTTCTTGTAGGTGTTATTAAACTCTTACCAAAGCTGTAATTTGAACCATCATTAGTAACATCAACACTTCTAGTTTCAACAAAATCTTCATTGTCTTCAGATGTCAATAACAGAATCTGTCTCTTAATCTCTGCATAAAAAACATCATCCTCGTACTCTGTCTCAAACAAAATACTAGGATCTGAATTCATTTCCACAACAAGATTTTCTTAAGAAATGATGAATTGCGACATGAAATATATTGGTAGTGAGGTTTATGTATAATAGTCGAAGAACATAAGAGAAACATGTTAGTGGTCAATGAATGTGTATCTAATCCAATAGTGTCCAAGTTGGAAGAATATTTTTGCAATTTCGTACGTTAGCAAGTGTTTGATCTTTGAGTACTTTAGTACGATGTTGTCATATTGAAGCTTTTAAGCCAAATCTAGTGGTTCAAAATTTTCAAGAGTTTTTGGCATTTACTTTTTAGTGACATTAATGGTCATTATTCTTTCATCATACATCAACATCAAGTATGCTTATGATTTGGGTTAACATTAAAAAAAAAAATGTTTTGCTTCTAAAATTGGCTTAATTGTGTTTTAAACTATTAGGAATGGTGTTAATTAAGAGAATCTTATTGGTGTTGGATCACTTTTCATGATAACTAACAATATAAAGGTCAAACTTACATGCTTATATTTGTATTGTTAAAACTAATTTAAAATTTGAATAGGTTAAACTTACATGCTCATATTCTGCATAAACTCATTTATGTATTATAATGTGCCTAATTCTGTTTGGAGTAATAACAAAACCAACCTGCATTTGTTGTATAAAATAACATCATAAAATAGATTAATGCTATTGCAACAAGTTATCCAAAAAAAATTACATCAAACTCAGACAAAATGACATGGAATTATTACAAGAAGTTATACATAATTATATTAAAGGGTAATTTAGTATTTGTCATATGTAAGATATTCCCTTTAAGCCCTATGTGACATTCTTATCTTTACTCTATTTGTGTATAAATAGGTGTACTAGATTTACATTTAATACAATCAATTTCCTTCAATCATTAGTGGCAGCTTTTAGCATTTATTCCTTTTCTCTCTTCTTCCTCAATTTCATCACCTTGCACTAACAAATTGGTATCTAGAGCTCTTGGTTTATTCTGAAATTCTGGGAAACACGAGTGATAGTGAGCTGTGTGTTTGATTTTTGAATCTTGAACAAAAATATGAAACAGAATCACACTGATTCTGTGGGTTTGGGAAACACTGAGTGAGAAATCTGAGATCTGAGTTTCTTGTGCAAGGTTTAAGATGAATGGAGGCAGTAGTTTGAACACTAAACTTCCAGTTTTTGATGGCAAAAACTGAAACAGATGGAAGATACAAATGCGTGTGCTGTTTGGTGCTCAGGATGTTCTGGATCTTGTTTCTGAAGGTTATGTTCCAGTTGCAGCAGATGCTACTGAAGAACAAAAATCAGAAGAAAGAGCTGTGAGGAAGAGGGATCAGAAAGCTCTGTTCTTTATCCATCAGTGTGTGGATGAAAATGTGTTTGAGAAGATTGTTGATTCGACGATGTCGAAAGGGGCATGGGATATACTGACCAGATGTTATGGTGGTGACGTGTCAGTAAAGAAGGTAAAACTTCAATCTCTGCGAAAACAATATGAAAATCTCAGCATGAAGAACAGTGAGAAAGTTTCTGAGTACATCTCCAGAATGATTCTGATCACTAATGAGATGAAGGCTTGTGGAGAAACACTTTCTGAACAGGTAATCATAGAAAAGATTATGAGGTCACTTACTCCTCAGTTTGATTACATTGTTGTTTCTATTGAACATTCTAAAAATATGGAAACCATGAGAATAGAAGAGTTGCAAAACAGTCTAGAAGCGCAAGAGTTGCGTCTGACTGAAAGAACTTCTGAGAAGGAAGTGGAGCAAGCTCTGAAAGCTTCTTTTGTCAAGAAGGACCAGAAGCAGAATAGACATGGTGATAAATTCCAGAAGTCAGAAACCTCAACTTCTGATGAAAAGAAATATCAGAAGGGAAAGGAAAGGTATGACAAGAAGAAGGTTCAATGTTACTGCTATAAACAGTTTGGCAATTTTTCCAGAGACTGTAGAAACAGAGGAAGGAAATCAGAAGAAGCAAATATAGCCAGAGAAGATTCTGATGATGAACCTGTGCTACTGATGGCTTCTGATTCTGATGGAAATTATTCAGGAGATTGGTGGTATATGGACACTGGCTGTTCAAACCACTTGACTGGGAACAAACAATGGCTGATAGACTTTGACTCCAGAAGGAGAACAAAGATCAGACGTGCTGATGATAAGTACCTTAATGCAGAAGGTATGGGAAATGTTAGAGTCAAAATGAAGAATGGAAAAAACATTCTGATCAAAGATGTTTGGTATGTTCCTGGAATTAAAAGCAATCTGATGAGTGTGGGTCAGCTTATTGAGAAAGGTTTTTCAGTGGTTATGAAGGACAACCTCTTGACGTTGTATGATTCTAATCAGAAGTTGATTATGAAGTCTGAGCAGGGAAGCAATAGAACATTCAAGGTGAATGTAAAAACTTCTGAAGTAGAGTGTCTTAGTGCAGAAGGCGCTGAAGCTGACAGTAAACTGTGGCACAAGAGGTTGGGGCACTTGAACTATAGAAGCTTAGGGCATCTAAGTTCTAAGAAGCTCGTACATGGCATTTCAAAGATTGTGAAGCCTCAGAAGTCATGTGAGATATGCATGAAAGGTAAGAAACCCAGATTGCCATTTGCATCAGAAGTAGCCCCCAGAGCAAAGCATGCTCTGGGAGTAGTACATTCTGATATGTGTGGACCATTTCAAGTACCTTCACTTGGAGGAAACAAATATTTTGTGTCTTTTATGGATGAGTTCACAAGAATGACATGGGTAACACTCATCAAGTTCAAGCATGAAGTGTTTATTGAGTTCCAGAAGTTCAAGGTGAAGGCTGAGAAGCAGGGTGGTCAGAAGCTGAAGATTCTGAGAACAGATGGTGGAGGTGAGTATAACTCTACAGAGTTCCAGAAGTTCTGTGAGGAGAATGGAATAGAACATGAGGTTACTTCTCCATATACTCCTTAGCATAACGGTCTTGCTGAAAGAAGAAACAGAACTTTGCTTGATATGACCAGAAGTATGCTGAAAGAGAAGAAGTTACCTCACATGTTATGGGGAGAAGCTGTTGCCACGTCAGCATATGTTCTGAATAGGTGTCCAACAAAGAAGCTGAAGGAAACTGTTCCTTTAGAAAAATAGACTGGAGACAAGCAAAGTGTTAGCCATCTAAAGGTGTTTGGTTCTGTATGCTACAAACACGTTCCAGATGCTAGAAGATGAAAACTGGATGATAGAAGCAAAACAATGTTACTGGTGGGGTACCACAGTACCGGTGCCTATAAGCTTTATTGTCCAGAAACCAACAAAGTTGAAATCAGCAGAGACGTCATTGTGAAAGATTCAGAAACATGGGATTGGAACCAGCTTCAATCAGATTCTGGTGTAGTGCCAATACCAGGGTTAGTTTCTGAAGATCCTTCAGAAAGTTCTGAAGACGAGTCAGAGTCAGAAGATGAAGACTCTGAAGATGAGTCAGAATCTCAGGGAGATTCTGATAGTGGATCTGATTCTGATCCAATTCTGATGATGATCCAGAATCTGGTGGTGATTATACTTCTGGAAGGCAAAACCCTGAAGACATGGGGTCTGGAGAACAAGTTTCCAGAAGTAACTCTGAAGGTGGTAATTCTGAAGGAAATAATTCTGGACAAAGTCCAGAAGCCAGCACAGTTCCGAGTTCTGGAGAAGCTTCAGAACAAGATCAGAGGCCACAAAGAATCAGACGAATACCAAGTAAGTTTGCAGATTTTAGCATGTTGCATGATACTGAAGTAGATTCTGAAGGAGAAATCGTTCAGTGTGCCATGCTAGTAGATTCTGAACCAGTGGGTATTGAAGAAGCGCTCAAGAAGAAAGTATGACTGAATGCCATGAAAGTAGAACTTGAGGCTATTAAAAGAAACAAGACTTAGAAGCTGACAAAACTTCCAAAAGGCAAGAAAGCCATCAGCGTCAGATAGGTTTTCAAGCAGAAGCTAAAGCCAAATGGATCAATTGGCAAACACAAAGCGAGACTAGTGGCCAGAGGTTTTCTTCAAAAACCTGGACTATATTACTTTGAGGTGTTTGCGCCTGTAGCTAGACACGAAACAATCAGACTGGTGATTGCTTTAGCTGCAAACAAAAATTAGCCTTTGATACATCTGGATGTGAAGTCCTCATTTCTGAACGGTCCATTACAAGAAGAAGTTTATGTGTCACAACCTCCTGGATTTGTGAAAAAGAATCACGAAGGGATGGTATACAGGTTAAATAAAGCTCTGTATGGACTGAAGCAAGCGTCCAGAGCTTGGAATTTGAAGATTGATTCGTTTTTCAAGGAACAAGGTTTTCAGAAGTGTGAGATGGAGTATGATGTTTATGTTCAGCACACTTTAGAAGGTAATATGATTCTGGTCTGTTTGTATGTTGATGACATATTACTTACAGGAAGTTCTGAACAAGAAACAGTTGAGTTCAAGAAAGTTCTGATGAATGCGTTTGAGATGACAGATCTTGGAAAAATGAGTTTCTTTCTAGGAATGAAATTTATATACTCTGAGAAAGGAATCATCTTACATCAGAAGAAGTATGAACTGGAGCTTCTGAAGAGATTTGAGCTAGCAAATTGCAAGGTTGCTATCACACCTGCTGATACGAATCAGAAGTTGGATTCTGATTCTGATGGAGAGGATGTGGATGCTACAATCTTCAAACAGATGGTTGGTTCTCTGAGGTATTTGTGTAATACCAGACCTGATATTTGCTATGCAGTTGAAATGGTCAGCAGATACATGAGCAAACCAAAGTGGTCTCATTACCAAGCTGCTGTCAGAATTCTGAGGTATGTAAAAGGAACTCTGAAATATGGAGTGTTATTTCCTTCTGGAGGAAAGATCAAATCAGAACTTGTGAGTTATTCTGATTCTGATTGGTGTGGAGATAGAGTTGACAGAAGAAGTACTTCTGGATACTTGTTCAAGTTTCTGGGAGGTCCAATTTCTTGGAGTTCCAAGAAACAGTCTGTTGTGGCTTTGTCAACATGTGAAGCTGAATACATT